TCTGTGATGCTGGCCTTCCTCCTCAGAGTCGATGAAACCCCAATTTCAACCCCTATCAGGGAGCTCCACTTACCGGGATTACAAGCAGGAAGCCCTGCTGTCCTGGCCCAAAGTCTGCAGAGGAAGTGCTCTCATAAACTCTCCAAATTGCTCCTCCCCCTAAGTCTGGTTTGACTCACCCGAAGGATCTCTGGGAAATGTAGTTGCTGGGCCTCTCTTGACCCTGGGGGGAAGCTCTTTCTTACTTGAAAAGGTGGAGAAAGTTATCTTGCGGGTTTTCACAGGTCAGGCTGGGAAGGGCCTTGCTCTTTGACGTAGTTCCTGCTCTCTGGTCTCCGTGTAAGATCAGAGCTTGAAAAGGGTTCAGCAAAGGTCCTGCACAACAGAAGGAAGACATCGTATTTTATTCATTCTCCCAGTTCATGACTCCTTTCATCAATTTCTCTGTTTTCATTTTCCCTCCATTTCATCTCTCATTTTCAGTTCCTTTTACCTCTCTACCCAAAGGTTCTGTGTAGTGTGTATGGTGTGTCCATACATGGATTTAGCATGATGTGTCATACGGTTGCATTTCTACTGTTTCTGATTTACATTAGTCACACTGGTTTATAACGTTTACTGCTTCTTTTTAAAATGTTTAACTAAAATTACACTCATTTGTTTATGTACATAGACGTGGGTGTAGGTGGAACTGGGTGTGCATGTGTCACAGTATGAGCACAGAAGTCAAAGGACAGTTTATGGAAGTCAGTCCTCTCCTTCCACTATGTGGGTCCGGGGGGTTGAACTCACATTGTCAGGGCTTCACAGCAAGTGCCTTTTGCTCTGAGCCATCTCTCTGGTTGTTTTTTCTTTAGTATTTCCCTCTACACTGTGTTTTAAAGACTCATGAGAGCCTTAGACCCTTGTGTTTTCTCTTTGACACTCATTGTTGTAACATAGTCCTCTGGTTCCTATGTCATAATTTTGTAACTTTTAGTGGTCTGTGCCTGAGTAGGCCAAACAGGCTGTCAAATTTTGTCCCTGTCTGGCCTGTCTGGTAAGACACTTCTGGAACGCGTGTCCCTGCTGTCTATTCAGTGGGGTCACTCTGAGGCATGCGCAGCAATGTCTTCTGGTATCTAGGGTGATTTTACTTCCTTTGTCTTTGGGCAACCTGCCAGTGACTTGCTACCCTTTGCTGTCAAGCTGCTTGTACGTTTTCATCTGTTCGTTGTCCGAGGCCTGGTCTCTTACCTGTTCTCTAGAACAGTCATCTTTACCAGCATTTCCCAACAATTACACTTCTACAAAAATAGCTATGCAGTGACACATTCCAGCAATCCTAGAACTTGGGAGGTGAAGACAGAAGGATCAGGTCAGTCATCCTTGGCTACATAGCAAGTTCCAGGCCAGCCTGGGCTACGTGAGACTGCCTCAACAACACAGCGCAAAACAAAACAACTCTATCATATATCCTCACTCACATCCCACCCTTGCTTTTCTATTTATCTTAATACGATCATCTTGAGTTGAAGACTGAGACAATGCTGAAATATTCAGTGTAAACTAGAACTCTGGTATTGGAATCCATTAGGTTTTGGGTGGGGGAAGGGGTTTCAAGTAGACACAAAGATGGATAATTGGGGGGTGTGTGGAGAGATGGCACAGTGGTTAAGAGCACTGCCTGCTCTTGCAGAGGACCCGGGTTCAGTTCCCAGCACCCACATGGCAACTAACAACCATCCAAAACTCCAGTTCCAGGGAATCCCTCTTCTGACCATGGACATTGCAGGACACACACGGATGCACTTATATACATGAAGACAATGCATTCATACACACAAAATAAAAAAATAATAAAATATTTTAAAAGATGGATTATATTGGGGAGTAAAGAACTAGAAGAGTTATTAACTGCATGGACAGACAGAAGGCTAACAGCATGATGGGGGCTCCAAAAAGAGTTCAGGCTCCAGCACCAGAGACAACATGGTGAGGTTTCTGAAAAGAGTAAGAGCCCATGTGGTAGAAGAGGAGCCTCCTTTACACTTCTAGAGGGTGAGGGAGGGTCACAGCAATTTTTCAGCCAGACTCTGCCCAGGCAAGAGGCAGGGAAGGAGTGGGGAGCAGGATGTGTCTCATCCATAGCACCGGTACCCCCTTTAATATTAACTCATTTCCCAGGTGATAAATCCTGGCACTGGACTGTCTGTTATCTAAGGCCTCACAGACAATGCCCTAGCAAGGTGCCTGTCAGTTATCTGTGAAAGGGGGAAGAGAAGGCTGTTGCAGGTATTACGGCCTGAGCAGAGGCTAGATTCTAACACTACCTTCTTATAGAATCCACGATTAGAAAGCATGAGGTATGGGTGAACAAGGACTTGGGTTCTGGAACACAAGCTGTCTTTGGAGGCTGTTCTCAGTATCTCATCAAGCACTCAGTGGGCAGATGACAATGTGAACAAGAGTTCAAGCAGGGACAAAATAAAGATGGAAGGACCTAGAAATGAATTCCAGTATTATTTATTCATCCATGGAACAAAATACTTGTGTGTGGGGGGGAGTGGTGCTGGTGGTGGCAGTGGTGGAAATCAAATCCAGGTCCTCGTGTATACTGAGCCAGCACTCTAACATTGGGAACTATCCTTCCAGCCTGCCTTTTTGGTCTTTGTGTCTGATACTGAATATATAGATCATAAAGTCATTTTATCTTGAATCAGATCTACAAGTTTGTCCTGTAATTTTCCCAGTAGTCATAGCCACTCTATTTAAACTCTGAGATCCATTAAGAAACACATTTCCTTTTTTTCCTTTTAAGCTAAAGTGTAGAAAGAAATTTTAAAAAAAAGTTACAGGGAGATATGAAATAGGATGAAAGAAGACACCACATTTATTTGTTTATTATTTATTTATCTATTTATTATTTATTTATTTATTCACTGTTCATTTGGTATTTCAGTTGCCATGATACTTGGGTAGCTGGTTGCACTATCTATAAACAGATTTTCCTTTTTTAATTTACTATTTTTAGTTTCTGTGTATGAGTGTATTGCCTGTATGTATGTGAGTGCACCCATGTCGTGCAATGCCGTGGAGGACAGAAGAGGGCTTCAGATTCCCCTGGAACTGGAGTTAAGGACGGTTCATAGCCACCGTGTGGGTGCTGGGAATCGAACCTGGGTCCTCTGCAAGAGCAGTCAGTACTCTCAACTGCTGAGCCATCTCTCCAGCCCCCAGATTTTACTTTTTACATTCTGTGTGATGGTTTGAAAGAGAATGTCCCCCATAGGCTCCAAGTATTTGAACATTTTGTCCCCAGTTGATGGTGCTGTTTGGGGAGGTCTTAGAAGGTGTGGCCATGCTGGAGGAAGCACATCACTGGGAGCCAACTTAGATAAGCCTTGCTAGATCTCCAGTTGATCTCTGCTTCCTATGCCTGCTTGAAGACATAAGCCTCTGCTTTGTGCCCCTGCTCTGGCCACCTCCTGCCATCATGATGAACTTTAATTCCCTTGGAACTGTAAGATCAAATAAACTCTTCTTTTTATAAATTCCCTTGGTCACAGTGTTTTATCACAGCAACAGAAAAGTAACATACACATTCTGTTACAATGTACACTTATACACACATAACTCACAAAATAAGATTCTTCAGAACAATTATACACAAGACATGCAGTAATGGATTTATACATTGGATCCTAGTATGTGACTAATTGGGACAAAATTTGAACTAGGCATGTTTGGTGAAGTTTATTTGGTATTTCAGTGCACACAGCAACACATCAGATTTGAAGGGAACTGGAGCCTGTACAAAATTGAGTGATGTCTCAAAGACGGTGGAACTATAACTGCACAGTGACCAGCTTACAATCACACAAGTACTATTCAGCATTAGCTGTGGGATATTCTAACTTTAGGAAACTGATGCTTCCCCAGGCCATCCTAATACAACTATAGGAGACTCTTTGTGAGAGTGAGGCCAGTCTGTCTACCTAGTAAGTTCCAAGCCAGCTGGGGCTACAGGGAGACTCTGTCTCAAATAAGAAAGAAAAAAGAAAAACACTATACAAAAGAAACTGTGTCTGCAAAAACTACCTTGGCACCTACTCACATAGCCCCATATGCTGATTATTTGGAATGGATACGATGGCTCATTCTTCTTTGCTTCGTTCCAATCCTGAGTTGTGAGGGTATAAGTTGTGAGGGTGGTATCTTATAAAAATTGGACATTGGTTATCGTCTGACTGAATGTAACGGATCCGATTATCTGATTATTTTTATTTAACCACCACTTATGAATTGTGAGTTCAACAATAAAATAATGTTGGAAGGTGTTCTGTCACAAATCAATATGGTTCCCCAAATACCGACATCTTCATTAAGATATTTTTGTGTGATTAATCTTGAAAAGGAGTGTGGTGATATACTTTCAATAATTCATTTAATTTTTTGAATTGAATTTTTATTGAATTTTTGAAATTTTCATACAATATGGTTTGATATTTAGATCCCTTCCCCTATCCACACCTACCCCTGGTGCCCCTTGCCCAATTTTATGTTCTCTCTCTCTCTCTCTTTCTCTCTCGGCTTATAGAGTCTGATTTGTTTACCCCAATGTCCTTCAGCGTAGGCTCAACCACTGGGCCCACCAAGAGTCCCACCCCTGTAAGACACTGTCTTTCCCCCTCCCAGCAGCATCAATTGCCACAAGTTCCTTAGGTTGGGTTTGAATTTCTTACCCACTTTCCTATGACTATGCTGGGATTTTGTCTCATTTGAGCTTGCACAGGACTTGGACGTGCTGTCACCATCGCTGTGAGTTCATATGCATAACTGACATGGAAGACTCTGTTTCCTTGTCCTTATCTACCCCATCTGGCTCTTACAATCTCTCTGTCTCCTCTTCTGCAATGATCCCTGAGCCTTGTGAGGTAGAGGTTTGAAATAGGTGTCCTAATCAGGGACAAGCACTCTGTGACCTCTTGTTCTATGCACATTGACCAATTATAGGTTTCTGTGTTAATCACCATCTGCTGTATAAGGAAACTTCTCTGGTAAGAGTTGAGAGATGCAATCATCTTATGTGTAGAGCTTGTGTTGAAGATGTGTCATTTAATTAACTGATGATACTGTTCTGAGTGAAATGATATATCTAGAACTTTCTTCTTGAAAATGTAGAGGAAGAGAAGCTACAATAAGCTGTCAATTGACCATTATTCAGTGATGGTTATGGATACATTTGTGTATGTTTTTTTAAAAAAATCAAAATGTTTGGATTCATATAATAATAATGAAGAGTGATCTTGCTTCTTACCTTAAATAGTAAAAGATAGGTCACCATGTTTGGGCACAAGCTGATTCTCCAAAGAAATGCCAAATACAGTTTTCAGTACTTCTTCAATTTCTTCCTTATCCAGATTCTTAAACTCTACCAGATCAACATTATCCTTATAATTGAATTTCCTACATGTGAACGTGAAGCCTATTAAGCAGTGTACCCCTTCTAAGGTCTGCAGGGAACAAAGTGATGTGCTTACAAACACAGATGTTTGGGATGTCTGAAGGTAAGTATTCACATGCTCAAAGTCGTTAATTGTTCGAGGTTTAAGAGTAAAGAAATGAATTTTTCGGTATTTATTCTTCTCAAGGAGTTCAGAATTAGCAAATTCTTGGTTTGGAACATACTGCTCTCTTCTGATTTGCTCCAAGTACCAGGCTCCGTTCTTTTCCTTTAAGCGGAAGATGCCAGGCATCTGAGGCTGATCCTTCCCAGAAATTAATTCCAAAGGCTCCCACATTTGGTAGGAGCTTCCGAAGGCAGCATCGACAATGTAGCTCTTGCCGCTGATGGTCACCTGGACTAGCAGGTGAATCATTTTGCTGCTATATTTGTTGACAGGTGTTATGTAAACATATCCTCCCAACATTGTGGTTTCAAAACCCATGGTGGTCAGAGCCCAATATAGGAGATGATTAATCTGGAGACACCACCCACCCCGCCTCTTCCTCACAATTAGGTCATAAATGGCCTCTAAGTCCAGATCCATGGGCTCCCCACAATGCATGCTAAGGTTCTCAAAGGGAACTGTTCGCATCTGGTGCTGAAGAATTTCAGTTACTGTTTCCAAGTCCAATTTATTCCTAGTGTTCTTATAACCAATTCTTTCAAAATATGCTTCAATGTCCATGGTCCCCTAAGGTAAAGATAACAAAACAAAAACAAACATTACAATCTTTGCTTGTTGATGTCCTGGTGTAAGCTAAGTATAGCTAGAACGTATTTTTACCATGTGTATGTGAACAATGTCTAAATATCTATACCAGTGATCTTTTTTATTTCTGCTACATGACTTGATTTTACACATAAAATTCCATTAAATATTCTCAGTGACCACGGAAGTAAAGCTTCCTCATTTCTTGCATTTTTCAAGTTTCAGAAGTTAGAAGTTCAGATTAAATGATGAGCCAAGTGGCACACAGCTTAGATGTGGTTTTCTTAGTAATAAAGGACAGACACTGCAATTAGTACCCATTATAATAATCTTCCAAACAGCTAGTCATAGAAAGAGGAGAATTGTGCAGTAGTTTCCAGGAAAACTACTGAGTGAACATACTATTAGCTCTACACACTGTCTCAAAACATCTCTGTGAAGCAACAGATAGACCCCTTCCCTTTAGCTTGATCATCAGCATAAGAGAAGACGTAAATGAGACATCATGTACACATTTAGGGAGCCCACTGAAAACTATCATACCTATTCTGGTAAGTTGGATGCAGGTTGATTGTCACGTTTAATTCAGAAGTCTTAGCATGGTTCTTCTTGGTTGAAACTGTAGAAATAATAGAAATGATGGCTTCAAATATATATGTTTTTAAAACATATTTATTTTTTTCTTTATGTATCTCTCCAACATGCCTGCTTGTGTAGTGAACCATGTGTGGACAAATGCCTGAGGAGCCTAGAAGAGGGCATTGGGTTCCCTGAAAGTAGAGTTACATGTGATTTGGGTATCGGGAACAGAACCCAGGTCCTCTGTAAGAACAGTACTTAATTACTGAGAATCTCTCAGTCTCTCAACATGGCTTTTCTTAAAAACAAAATGGTGGACAAGAGATCATGAAAAGTCACTAAGTATTATGAACAGAAGCAAAGTTGTGAAGTGAATAGGTGATTTTTACCAAGGAAGCTTATTCAAAGGATAATTATGACAGCTGGAAGCACCATGACAGACTCTAAATTGGGAGGTCTGGAAGTCATGAGGAGAGGACCCAGAAGCAGCCACCCAGATAACTAATTACCATTGAACAGCAAAGAGGGCTGAACCCTGTTCCATATCCCCAATTACTACCAAGGTACTTATAAACACACCAAGATTAGTATTCAGTGTTAGCATCTGGTCTCCCTTTAGGGGACAATTATATTTGGAAATACTGAAGCAAGAAAACAAAGTAAAGTATTAAAGTAGTTGCAGAAGGAAAAAAGACCATTTCAACAGAAAATCTTCCATGAAAGTCTCTTGTCAAATTATCTTCCTTATCTTCTTCTGAAAAGATCGAAGAGTCCAAGCCTAACCCCAGTTAGACATCACATCATAGCAGAGTTGAAAGATATAGAGACAGAGACATATGTGTGTGGTGTGTGTGTGTGTATGTGTGTGTGTGTGTGTCTTTGTGTTATGTTATGAATATAATGACAAAACAAAATGAAAATATACAATGACATTGGGAGTGCAAGATAAGAAACAACATGTAAAAGTTCCATGCCAAGAAAGACACCCATTAGAAAAAGAAATACAACAATAGAAAGAAGCTCTTTAAAATAGCTTGATAGGGCTGGGCATGGTGGCACACGCCTTTAATCCCAGCACTCAGGAGGCAGAGGCAGGCAGATCTCTGTGAGCTCAAGGCCAGCCTGGTCTACATAGTGAGTTCCAGGGCCACTGGGGCTATAGGGAGACCCTGTCTCAAAAAGACAAAAAAAAATAATAACAATAATAACTTGATAAAATCATGTAGTTTGGGGCTGGCAAGGTGGTTCAGTTGGAAAAGTACCTGTCAAATAAAGAAACTCTGATAAACATCCATGGTCTCTGGGTATGACACGTGGTAAGGCATAAAGATCTGGCAACGCAGGACAAACATCTTGTACAATGTGATCGACAGTTCTCAAGTCTTAAAGAGTCATTTATTTTTAATTCTGTGTTCAAGTGTGCATCTGTATGTGGGTATGTGCATGTGTGATTACAAGTGCCTGCAGAAGCCAGAAGAGGGCATCATATCCCCAGGAGCTGGAGTTATGGGCAGTTGTGAATATGGGTGTTGGGAACCAAACATGGGTTCTCTGCAAGAGCTGCAAATGCTCTTAACCACCAAGTCATCTCTCCAGCCCCTAGTTCCCAGTTCTGAAAAAAAATGTGTTTATATTCCTTGAGGGCATCATATCCCCAGGAGCTGGAGTTATGGGCAGTTGTGAATATGGGTGCTGGGAGCCAAACATGGGTTCTCTGCAAGAGCTGCAAATGCTCTTAACCACGAAGTCATCTCTCCAGCCCCTAGTTGCCAGTTCTGAAAAAAAAAAATGTGTTTATATTCCTTATATGCATTTTTACTGGCAAAATTGAGATATTAAAAGACAACCTTTAGAGTCAATGCATTCATATTTTAGCCGGTTCTGTAACAGGGACTGTGTTCCTTCAAAGCTTCTTGTTGAGAGGATAATGTCCACAGCTTGTGGTACAACGCCCCACTCTTTTATTTTAATATGTACCAGGAGGACATTTAACATATGCCCGTAAGCAAAGACCCATTTTTACAATCTTTATCAAAAACCTCAAGAGGAGTAACTCTTTTTGTCTCCTCAGTTTGGACGAACAGCATTTAAAAGGCTCTGGGGCGACCTGCAGGTGGCGCTGTTGTCTTTTTAAAAAGTTACTTGAGCTTTCAGCTTGTCTTTCCCAATCACAGAACTGGAAATTTTGGCATCTAAAGCAGCCTGTGATTTAAGCTTTCTAGGTGACATTCCTTAGCTTGGGGGAGACATTTTCGTTCCATTTCTCTCATTCCTCCTACAACGGATGTTGTCTTTTGGCTGTTCTGAGTCACCTTTGTATTGAGAACAGAATATACAGCTGCTTTTCATCCTTTGCTTTCCAACTCTCAGTTGTACCTGGGGGTCCTGTGGGGGAAATTATTGGCTCTAAAAGCTTAAACCCCTCGGTCTCCTGCACTCTATTATTTCTATTCAGTCTCAGTCATCTCTCTCTCTCTCTCTCTCTCTCTCTCTCTCTCTCTCTCTCTCCTCTCCCCTGCCCTTTCTCCTTCCTTTTCTATTCTGCACATTTATCTTTTCCACATATGCACACTGGTCCCTGCCTCCTGATTCAGTCACCCCCACCCCATCTTCTTGGCCCCATTTCTCCTTCCTACATTCTGTTCTGCTTGCCTATGAATACTGTCATTGTTTCATATGGTCTCTGATACTAGATGCCCTGAAGGCCACATCCAGTGTGGATGGCTCTATTCCAAGAGTTCCTTCCAACTTTGTGGGAGTTTTCTATAAATGCCAGGGGCACTTTGTCCTGAAAAAGTCATGTTAACCATCCTTATATTGGTTTGGCATCTGTATATTTTCCCCATACCTGGTAAATTCCAGGAGTTCTGAGGGGTCTTTCTTTGCTTTCTTTTAGTTTTCCTGAATTTTAGTTAAATTTCTATGTTGTGATGACCGTTTCTTTAAACCTTCCAAAATGCACCATTTGTTAATAACACAATTAAATCCTAACTCAAGTATTTTAAAAAGAGTTCATTTATTTTGTTATCTTTCTTTGCTTTCTTTTAGTTTTCCTGAATTTTAGTTAAATTTCTATGTTGCGATGACCGTTTCTTTAAACCTTCCAAAATGCACCATTTGTTAATAACACAGTTAAATCCTGACTCAGTATTTTAAAAAGAGTTCATTTATTTTGTTATTTATTGTTTATTTATTTTAATTTTGTGTGTATGAGTGTTTTGCCTGCATGCATATAAGTGCACCACATGTGTGACTGGTGCCCGGAGAGGTCGAAAGAGGGCATTGGATCCCCTGAAACTGGAGTTAAAGATGGGCACATGTGTGACTGGTGCCCGGAGAGGTCGAAAGAGGGCATTGGATCCCCTGGAACTGGAGTTAAGGATGGGTGTTAGCCATCATGTGGGTACTGGGAATCAAATCTGGGTCGTCTGCAAGAGTCTGTGCTCTTAACCACTGAATTATCTCTTTAGCCCCATCATTCAGTTATTAATGTCTCAGGAACTGGAGAATCCTGTGGGATTAAGGGTTTCTGCAAGATTTCTTTAGTGGGGATATTATGCCTCTTTCTTGTCTTTGTCTAACACTAATCTTCTCCTACCTGTAGTCAGCAGAATATTTAACAGAGTGAAATGGAGTGGGTTGGCAAAAACACAAATAAATCAGTATTTTTTTGTGTACTGTCCCTATACGGGGGTCAGCCTTTCTGGTTTAACAGATCTAAAGTTGAGAATGGGTTATGTAAGTCTAAAAAACCATGCATGCTGATCACCTTTAATCTTTAAAGTAAAGACTGTTTAAAAGACATCCTGTTGAAATGGGATGCTTCCTGGAAAAACCAAGCTCCCGAAAGACCTTACTGGGGGAGACCATTCCTGCATTCATACCATGAACCAATTTTTTTTTCAACCCTGTTTTCCTCCTGAGTTTTACTACCTCCAAATGGAACAGTAGCCTTTCTTCCTTTATAAACTACCAGTCAAGTCTCCTTCCTGTTAGAATCATTGTTATAAAGAGGAAAAAAATCTTTTAAAAAATCTTTATTGTTTTTACTTTATGTGTTTGAGTGTATTGCCTGCATGTATGTGAGTACACTTGGAGGTCAGAAAAGGGCATTGGATTCTCCTGGAATGGAGTTATGGATGGTTCATAGCTGCCATGTGGGGGCTGGGAATCAAACCTGGGTCCTCTGTGAGAGCAGTTTGTGCTCTTAACCCCTGAGTCAACTCTCCAGCCTGGGAAAAATAATTTAAAAAGAATTTTACTTCATTTATATGACTTCTTACAGAATAATTACAATTGTAAAATAGTATATTAATTCAAAGATTCATTAAGTAGCCATCTGTCACTAAAATCTAATACATATATAAGGCCACACAGAGCATATCAATTTGTTTTTAAGTTATGGGCCCACAACTATACACTGCTCAGTCAGTCGCTAGTGTGTACTCCCAAATAATGCACAGATTATCATCTGGAAACAAAAGCAGAGATACAAAGAGAGAAAAGGCCCAATTAAATAAATAGCAAATCACTTACCCAGCCCCTCTCCTGGAAGGAGAGGCTGGTAAAATTAGCTTTTAGACTCTCATCTAGCACTAAGTGCTACTGCAAATGCCTGGAGAAAGTCCCCAGTAGCAAAGTAAGCCCCACAAAGTGGAGATAGAGAATTTGGAGGGTTTTTGTTGTTGTTATTTATTTTTTCGAAACAGGGTCTCCCTATAACCACAGCTGACATGGAACTCGTTATGTAGATCAGGCTGTTTTCCATCTCACAGAGATCTACCCGCCTCTGCCTCCTGGGATTAAAGGTATGTGTCACCACAACTGGCTTGAGATAAAGAATTTTTACTAGACACCCATCCTTGGTGTGGTTTGGGTCACAAATGCCCCTCCCCCCCAAACTCATATATTAAAGACCTGTTCTCTAGTATAATGGTGTTCAGAGGTCAGGTCTTTGGGAGGTGATTGGATTATGAGAGTGTGTCATTATTAATGGGATGATCCGCTTAGGGACTTGTAGTTTTAAGTTTATAAAGGTGA